CTAATACGACACATGTACGACCGGAATATAGCAGGTACTTGCAGAAAAGTAAAGTCCCTTCGGCTTTTGCCTTTATTTGATACGCATCTTACCCCAGATACACCTCACTTCTTTCCCTTTCCTGGAGCTTTTGCCTTGCCCTTACCCTTACCCTTTGGCTTGACATCCTCCTCATCCTCATCCTCGCTATCTTCATCCTTGGCCTTCTTCTTCGCCCCCTTTTTCGCCGCAGCCGGTTTCTTGGGCGCAGCCTTCTTCTTCGGCTGCTTGACGTATTTGTCCTTAGAAAGATCGATATCTTCGTCATCTTCATCCTTGATTTCCTCAATCACTTCGCCCTCGTCCGACTCTTCAATCGCTTCTTCCAAGTCCGGCTTCTCTTTGGCTTGTTTCTTTGGCGCTGTGACTGACGAAGCCTTCATGAATGGCAGAGGATGTGATTGCTGGTTGTATCTGATGGCGTGTTAGTCATGCAGTCAAAATCCACAGTATCATGTCCAGACTTACAGTCGGGTAAAGGTTGACTTGGCCTGAGAATCAATCTTGACCTTTTCTTGGTCCATGGGACCAACACCCAGCTCCATGATTGCATCAAAGTCATCCTTGGTGAGGTAGTAGCTGTCCATCAACTCGATAATCTCTGGGACTGCCTCCTTGCCCTCTTTTTGCAACTTCTGAACAAGGTCGGTCCAGAGCATTGGAATGTATTGCTGACGGATCTCGTGTCGATCACCAGAAGATCGTAGCCGCATATGAGCTTGGATCTCCTTGACCATTCGACTAAGCTTGTTGGCAGAACTGTTCTTGCCCAGCCACGATGTAAAGCGTGTCTGATTTCCAGCAGTGTTGCCAGCTACGAAGCTTGCTGGCCGCACAAAACTGAATACTGCATGTGTAGGCATTAGGCTCCATTGCTGCTGAGATCCGTGAATCATTCGATCGACCAGATCGCCATCACTAATGCTGTCCGCTGCCTGTGACACAAGCTCCAGGTTCTTGAGGTTCTTCTCCTTCCCAGAATAGCCTCCAGACAGGATAGGATTCGTGCCGAGATAGTTTTCCTGAAGCATCAGCGGGCTGAACTCATGGTCGTTGAAGTAGAGCTCAATCTTTTCATTGAGAGTGGCCTTGCTGCTCGCAGCAAACATGCCACCGCCAAGAATCTTTTGCGTGATGTCCCAGGGCTTCAAAACCACATGCTTCTCCCAGTTCTTCGACATGGCCTTACCCTTGTCAAAGTCCATGACTTCTTGGTCGATCTTGGCAGTGGATATCATGTTGACAACTTGACGGATATCGGAATGGCTGCCTTCGATAAGTGCATTGATAACTGGGGTAGGCATTTTGAGACCTTCACGGAACGCAATCGTCATGATACGTGATCGCACCTGGTCTACAGTCGGTCGTCGGAAGGGGAGGTCGAAGGTGACGTAATCGAATGGCTTCATCTTGGGCTGCCTCCGGTCGTTACAAATGAGGATCATGGGAACTTCCGTCTTCTTGCAAACAGCTGCGAGTGCACCAACACCACCTCGGTCACCTGCAGACATACCATCGACCTCGTCCATAATGAGAACGAGCTTCTTCTTAGAGTTCTCGACCTTCTTTCCATCTCCCGCAAAGTAGCCGTGGAGGGAGTTGGTACTGAGAACACCACGCAGACCGTCTTCGATAAGCTTCTTGCTTCGAGTATCACTGGCGTTCCTTTCAACAATGTCGTAACCTTCAAGCTTGGCGACGAGATGTGCAGCAGTAGTCTTACCAATACCAGGCGGTCCATGAATCATGACAGCACGGAATACTCCACTACCATCTTTACCGGCAAGCTTGAACCCTGTCTTGAGACTCTTCGGGAAAGCCTGCAGCCATCGTTGCAGCCTCTCGACTGATGCTTTGTTTCCGCATATATGAGCAAGTGACGTGGGTGCATACTTGGTTGTCCACAATCGAGAGTCGACTTCCGGACCTACGCTTTGAGCAGCAGCGGTGACAGCAGAGGCTGTCTTGTTTCCAGCTGCGGCAGCTGCGGCAGCTGCAGTCTTCAATTCTTTCTGACGCTTCTTTTCCTCTGCCTCGAGTTCTGCAGCCTGCTTCTCAATCTTCTCTTGCTCCTTGCGTTGCTTTTCTGCATGCACTGCCTGAGCTTTGCTGTCACCCTTGTTGCCCGCGGCTGTCAACTTTTCAATTAGCAGAGTCAGGCCATCCTCATCAATGGTCTTGATGTTCATGTCTCGGATCTTCTGCAACTTGCTGGGTCCAGCATCTTCACCCAAGACGACGTAATTGGTCTTCTTGCTCGGAGCGGTAGTCACTTTACCGCCGTGACGCTTGACCAGCTCCTGACTTTCAGTTCGACCCCATTTTTGCAACACACCAGTGAAGACGAAGTTCAGCCCAGCAAGGCAGGTATCTGAGCCTTGTGGCATATCAGCGGACGAGCCTTGTGCGGGTCCAGCATCGCCACGGGCTGCATTTGCTTGCCAGTTGAATTTCCCATTTGGGTCTTTAGGAGGAGGCGTTGGAGCGCGCACAGTAGGTATGCTGTCGTAAATGGCCTGAATGTCAGCACTATCTTCAACATCATCCTTCTTCGCCTTCTTCTTCGCTGGTGACTTTGCTGGGGCAGCCTTCTTCGCCTTAGGTTTTGCCGGCTTGTCCTCTTCGTCCTCATCTTCATCATGTTCTGGGGACTTGCGCTTCTTGCTGGCAGCCGATACTTTCTTCGATTTGGTCTTAGCAGCTTCTTCCTCATCAAAGTCTTCGTCGTCGTCACCATCCACATCCTTCATATCCACATCCTCGTCGTCGGGCTCAAATTCGTCCTCGTCTTCGTCCTCGTCTTTGACTGGCTTTTGTTGCTTTGCTGGAGCCTTTGGTGTCCCACGATGTGGCAGTTGTATGGGCACATCCTCGTCACTCTCTGAAGCCTCCTGGTAATCGTCCTTGCTCTTACCCTTGATGTCATCCCCAAAGATATCGTCCGCACCGTCGAGATCATCATCCGGAAACTCATCGTCGTCATCCCTCTCAGCGTATGATGTGACAGGTTTCTTCGCGCGTCCAGAAGTCTTGCCATTGGCTGCCTTCCCACTTGGCTTTGCAGCTGCCTTCTTTGGTGTTGTCTTTGGTGCCTCGGCTGCCTTCTTTTTTACAGGTTCTGTTCGCTTGGGCTTATTCGAGCTACCGAAAAATGCAGATGTGGTTGTTTCTTCGAGTTCAGGCTCTGGCGTTGGTTCACGTTTGGCTTTCTTAGCGGCTGGTTTCTTTGGTGACGCCTTTTTGGGCCTATGCAGCATCAGCATTTGACTTCACTGATAATACAGTGTCACACTTGACTCACTTCACCTCTTCTTCGTCATCATCAGAGTCTTCTACAACTCTGCTCGTACGGCCTTTTTTCTTAGGTGCCGCCTTCTTGGGTGCGGGCTCATCCTTTTGAGAACCCTGGCTAGACTTCGGGGGCCCACCACCAAAGAAGCTGCGAATATCGGCTGGCATTTTTGAATTGTAAGAGAAGAACACAGACCACTACTCTATCATTGGATTGCCGCGTTGATCAGCCAGATGGGTGTGAGTATAAAAAGTTTGGGGGGGAAGTTAGTGGCGGAGTTGGTTTTGGTGGGCGGCGCGCAACGGACGTGAGTCGACGCGACCACGCGCGGTCATTAGGCAATTACGCAGTTGGGGGCGCGGGCAAAGCCACACACAGGCACCTACAGGGCAGGCATCAGCCACATCTTGGCGCGGGACAGAACTTCAATGTTCCCAACTACACCACCGGCACCGCAACTCAACCCCCACCCACCGACAGAATAACCATGCCTCCACCAAGGATATCGCCCAGTCTACTATCTCAATTCAAGCAATTGACCCTCTCCGCAACCCGTCCCACACGTACGACGCCTAAACCTACCTTCCCAACCCCCCATTAACCCTCTCTCCAGTCCTTCAAAAGGCCTCTCTCCCAAAATGCCAATTCACCACACCCCCCGCAACTAGCATCAGCCTGCGCCTCTTCTCCTCCACCCCCTCCCACGCCTCCTATCTCGCCCCGAAAGCCGGTGAATCACGCAAATCACGAAAGGGACGCTGCCACGTCCCCACGGGCGGCAGCATGCGCGGCACCACCGTCGTCTGGGGCGACTACGGCCTGCGCATGCGCGACCACGACCGACGCATTTCCGCACACCAGCTCCGCATCGCCGAGGAGACCATCAAGAAGCGCCTGCGCGGCATGAAGTTCCGGCTGTACATGCGGGTCGCCGCCAACATCGGCGTGTACACATCGGGCAACGATGTGCGTATGGGAAAAGGCAAAGGAAGTTTTGACCGCTGGACGGCGAGGGTGGCGGTTAGCAAGATTATTTTTGAGATCAAGGGCGATTTGCATGAGCAGGTTGTCAAGGATGCGTTTAGGCTGGCGGGCAATAAGTTGCCCGGTCTGTACGAGTTTGTGAAGAAGGGGGATCCGCCGGTTATGGGGTTGACAAAGGTCGGGCTTAATGGGGTTACGGAGGCGGATTTGAAGAGGCCGAGGAGGAAGGAGCCGCTCGAGCAGACAGCGGCGAGGTTGCAGGAGGCGAGTGAGGTGGGAGTAAGCACCTCGCCACGGGCGGCGCTGTAGATGAAAAATGCGGTTGTATGATTATTGAAACGATTTTGTGGGCCGGGATACAAAAAAACTTAGTCACACAAGAGTGGTTAGGATTTTATTGGAATATTGTTGGATTTTTCTCATTCGGCTAGTCGATTGTTCAAAGAAAGGGAAAAAAAAGCAGTGGTACACACTGATATCCAAGGAAAGCCTCTTCAGCCCTAGCCCTCTTCAAACCCAGATTACAACACAAAACTCCGCTCTACCTTGACAGCCTTGAATACCAATCTAAGGTTTCGAACAAACTGACCAGGATATACATCTAATGCGACTTGGACAAAAGGAAAAAGAAAATCAAAAAAGAAATACATGCTCATAATCATCGCAATGAGAATATGTCATCCGCTTAGGTCTTGTACAGCGTGTCGAGGAAACCCTTTGCCAAGTCCTCGACAACACTCTTGTTGGGCAGGCTACCTGCAACACCGTACAGTGCCGCGGCATCACCCTTGACTGCACCCTTTGCTCCCTTGCCCTCGGCGATGCGTTTCCTCTCAGCTTCTCGGACCTCCTCGGTAACATCGATCAAATCGTTGATGAGCTTATCCGCGGCGGCAACAACGGGCAGAGTAACGGCAACGTGGATGGCAGGTGGGTTCTGCAGAGCGTTCAAGTGCCATCCCTTGGCCGACATGCCGTCGGCAATGTCATAAACGTCGAGTGTGTTTGAGAGGAAAGCTACGACGGAGACCATGGGGCGACCAATAATCTTGAGGTCGGATGATAGCTCGGGCTTTTCGCGGATGGCGGCCTCAATCTTCTTCATGCCGCCGACAATCTTGAGGCAAGAGTCGAGGTAACCATTTGCACCCTGCCTGACGAGACTTGCCCAGCATCCTGCAATCAGCGCACCGGGACGGGAGCCTGCAATGGATGGTGATGCGTATACACCACCGGACCAGTCTGGGATGATGAAGTATTGATATTTACGGTATACGTCAGAGCGGTAGAGCACAGTTGAGCTGCCCTTGGGTGCAAATCCGTACTTGTGCGTGTCGCAAGAGATGCTGGTAACGCCTTTGAGGCGGAAGTCAAAAGGTTCGTTATCGAAGCCGGCCTTGGCGAGCATAGGAACGAGCAGGGAACCGAGACAGCAGTCAACGTGTAGCGGAATCTTCTTCTTGTAGGCGAGCTTGCTCAATGCGGAGATATCGTCGATGATACCGTGGGGGAAGTTGGGCGCTGATCCGACCAGCAGGACTGTGTTGGGGTTGATCAAACGTGAGACGGATGGGATATGGACCCTGTAGCTTGGGGCCCTGCATTCCACAAGGTGCACCTTGATCTTGAAGTATTCGCAGGCCTTTCGGAAAGCGGTGTGTCCGGTCTCAGGAAGAATCATCTCAGGCTCCGTTACTCCGCGCTCCTTGTAAGCCTTGTTGCGTGCAGACAGGCAGGCCATGAGAATAGACTCGGTTCCTCCGGAAGTCGTAACACCTACGGCGTCATGGGGGGCATTAAAGAGAGAAAGAACCTAGCTGCTGTTAGTCATGTCATTGATTGGTGGCTGTAAGTCGGACATACCATGGCGACAATCTCAGCCTCCATCTTCCTTACACCAGGGAACACATCGGGATGGATGGGGTTCGACACGGTAAATTTGCCAAACGCTTCCGTCTGAAGTCGGATCAGGTCTTCTCCACCGTGGTATACCGCACCGCTGACGCGTCCATCCTCCCAGCGGGTATGGTCCATGTTGGCTAGCTCATCGAGTTTGGCGCGCACTTCGTCTTCGCTCCATCCCTCGGCTGGTAGGCTGGTCAGGCGCTGAACGCCAGGTCCGCTGGGTACGAGTTTGCGCTCCAAACCCATGATCGACTCGGAAACCTGCTCCTGGACTTTTTCGCGAACGCCGGGAAGTCGCAGAAAGACACCGTAGAGATAGCGACGAATGCTCACGTATGCGTCAGTGGCCGAGCCGAAGATGCCGCGACCTTTGAGCTGGTAGAAGGTGATGCGCGACCATCGTAGAACGAAGAAGAGGAAGACAATATTGCGCAAACTATTTGGAACGTTAAAAGAATTGGACTACAAGATTTTTCCTCAGAAGACTTACACATCAATGTTAAAGGCAATGAGCTGGCCGTTGGGTGAGTTCCTGCGCGCAATGAAGGTGTCGCGCAGGAGACTGATGGGTAGTTGCGATGAACCAGGCATTGTGTAGGATTGTTAGTGCTGAATTCTCAGTAGAGTGTGGACATTACAATGGCGGATTTGCGCCTTGCTTAAAGCTTGCCATGGAGGTGAGGTCACTTGGTTCACATGCCATGTCGGAGCGCCAAGGAAGCCGCTCCGAAAGTGCCCATCATAAGGGTCGGATCTCGGGTTCTGCGGGGTGTTTCCCCTTTGGGAAGGGGACTTGAGGGAGATCTTTCTTTTGCGGGGTAGCAATCACCAAGGGTCACCAGTTCCAATCTGTCATGGAGTCATTGATCTCATTTGCGCTTATTGGTGCTTATTTCTCGGACTATCTCTGCGCATGCCAACGGTAATGCGCTCCCATTGCAAATAACGGCATCAAAGCACCACACTCGATGCAATTGAATGAATCCCTGTCAGTCATACTACTCTCGTACTGCATCTCGCATGCGTCGGGAGCGGAAGTGTCGACCTCCTGAGAAGGCGTCGGCACGTCTTCGGAACCGAACGCTGCAGCATTATTGTCACTCGAGACGTCCATCTTGGGCGATAAGCCCGAGCCATCCCCTGTAATAATGTTTTGCACAGATTCCATAACAGCGGCTGGCGGTTCCTCGACCCTCCACTGCCGTAGGATCTCGTCTTGATGCTTGAGCATTTTGCCAATGTCTCTTCCAACGCCGCCTTTTTCGCTCGCAGCATCAGCCATGTTGGTGGCAGCGACATTCAGCAAACTGAGGTTCCAACCACCCTTGTCGGGATGCAGTCGTCGAAACAGCGGAACAAGAGTCTCGCAAAGTAGCTTTTCAGTCACCGATGCAATGTCGTCTTTGAGGCTAAATACAAAGCTAGGCATGGGAGCAGACCTGGAGATGCGCGCAAAGGACCGGTTTCGACTGCCATCCGAGTTTTGAGGCGGGCGAGGTCGGGTGGATAGACGAATGGTTCTTGGGTGAGCCAGCCATCGCTTTGCGGTCTCTGGAGGGACTGGAGGTGCGTCTTGGTCTTGGTCCTCATCAAGCAGATCCATGTGCATCCTCTCAACCAGTCTCTTGGCAAGCACACGCAGCTCTTTGACTACCGCATCCAACGTGGTCAAACGCATATAACTATCTTCTATACTGATCTGCCGTGGAGTCTCGCGGGCCTGTTCGACTTTGGTTTCATCGCAGCCGTTGAGTAGACCCCATATTCTGGCACCGGTACCTTGAGGCACACCAGGACCATGCAATAGTCTGTCGAGCATCTCTGGGCCCATGCCTGGGTACATTCTCACATCACGCACAGAAACATGTTCTTGGGTGGCTCCGTATACCAAGCCGGTGTCGAAACTTGCTGGGCGCTGCAGCACCTGTGCGCGAAGCTTCTGGGCCGTTTTGAAGCCTATTCCGGGAAGTTTGCCCACTTCGTGCGCGTCAAGAAAACGTGTCACATTATCCAAAGTTTTACTGTCCCCGTTGGAAACGTAGGGTGGGACTAGGGTTGTTTGAGCGTTGGGCTTGTGCGTGTTACCGACAAGCTTTGACAGTAGCTTGTTTGTTGAAACACCAACAGTGGCAGTATAGCCCATGTGGGATTCGAGCCTCGTCCGCAAATGGTGCGCCAGATGGCTAGCGAGGGCCAATCGGAGAAGCAGTGGATCTGACAAAGTGGTTCCTATTGCACATTAGCGCCGTGGACAAACGGCTATGGCTGCACAACGGGCGGGGGACGATGTTGGTGGCAGGATGATGGGCAATGGTCACGAGTCTCAGTAGGCGCTCAACAGCCGCGAGCGTTTAAAAAAGAAAAGGCGAGCGTCAGCCTTGCAGTGTGGTTGCTCTCGCGAGCCACGCCGCCTGGCTTACCTAAGCCATCATTCACCGATTCGGGATACAAATGACCAGTCGGGCGCGTTGCATCGTAAGGGAAGCCGACTGTGGGGTCATGCTTGGCAAGACAGAAGAAGGCGTTGCTGAGGTCATTGACATTGAGGATGGACACGTTGTAGTCAATCATGTCGGTGACGTCCAAGAAGACCTAGGCATGTTTCAACACGGAGGTGGCCTTTGGGGAGCAAGGAAAAGGGCAGCGACTCAACCGACCTCGTCGAAACCCAACCTCTGGCAGCGTTTGTTCCAAGAAAAGGAAGACAAAAAGGCATAGAGTCGCTTGGAGGCATCACGAAAACGGGTCAAGTCTTCTCCGAGCACGATGACCAGATCCGGGCAGGCTTTTTGCGCGTCGTGAATCAGCTGCAGTTTGTGCAGACCCTGGCAAGGAAAGAGGGTCAATGACAGATGACTCGGGCATGTGGCGCAGAGGCAGACGCATCGAGACGTACTCGGGAGCGGGCCTCGTAATTGCAGGTGACGAGGATTTGCTTCTGCTGCACGGCCAGAGGGACAGACTTCAAGGCCGGGTTTTCGTGTTCAAAGACGCTTGCGTAGAAGCAGTCCTGTGGAGACGAAGAATACGGGCAGGGTTAGTGATTGCGCAACTACTTTGCCGCAGCGGGTAAGCAGAGACGCACGTAGTCCTGGAGGATACGAAAGACCAGGGCGTTAGCTGGGCGGCCGAGGCTGAGAGGCGGCGGTGGTGGAGGCCTTGGTGCTTACGAACAAAGTGGAGGATGATGGAGGTGGTCTGGCGCTGGGGGGTCTTTGTGCGAGGAGGACCAGGACTGGCGGCAGCGGGCTGGTGCATGGTGGAAGCGCCGGAAGTGGTACCGCAGAGGAGCAGGCAGGCAGGGCGTAAGTGTGTAAGTGAGGGAGCGAGGGAGCGGTAGTAGTGTCGATGGAATACCGATGGGTGCAGATGCAAATGCAGCACAGCAGCAGACAGAGGCAGCAGATGTCGCAGGGCAGGCCGGCAGCAGCAGCTGCGTGTTTCGGCGGGCTGCGTGTGCGGGGAGGCCGGCGAGTGGCCGGGCGTGGATGGGCGTGGATGGGCTTGATTGAGGCGCGTCAAGGCGGGCTGTGTGTGGACCAAACGGCCGTGTGCCAAGCCAGGCCGGTTGGATGCTGCGTCTTGGGCGGTTTTTTTGCCACGCTCCGCACTCTATCTTTGGACTGCGCTAGCCGGGGGGTGGTATTTTGGGACCTTGTCGCTGCAAAGCCCTCCCCCCAGCCAAGCGCTTCGTGTCCCAGCGCAAGAGCAAGTCGTAGCCGTCGTCAAGAAAGCCCTTGGACATGGGCGGGTCCATGGCGCTGGTTGGTGGCATCCTGTCCGCGGTTTAATACCCTCACCACCCCTCCGCCTACCCACCCACGCCAACGCCCACGCCCCCATTTCGTTTTTTTCTCATACAAGCCTGCCTGCCTGCCTGCTTGCCTGCTTGCCTGCTTGCTGCTATACCACCACCACCATCAGAAGCACTAGCAGTACCAAGTCCACCAGACCACCATCGCTGCCGCATCATCTGCCCGTCCGCTCCCCGCCAGCACGCCGGGCTGCACACATGATGCTCTCGACTATCCAACCGTCACACCCCTCCATGCCCAAGCCATATTCGCAATCATCTGCCATGTCCACCATGACCGCCTCGCTGCCTATAATACCCCCGCCACGCCAGCAACCCGCCCGCCCTAAGCTGTCCATCAACACCGAGCAACCTCGCATCCTAGGAAAGGGCGCCAGCCTCCGTCTCGACACTCTCAGTGCCGCCTCGCCTACTGTTCGCAACACTTACACAAACGCCTACGAGCGCCCCTCGACAGCCCCCACTCTGCAGCGCCCACAAAGACCCTCGCTGTCAATTGAGAGCGACCTGCCCGCTGCCGCAAACAGCGCCTCAACACCCAGCTCTGCATCCACCCTCTCGTCAACACTCACATCAGCCTCGGCCGACTCTGCCACCAGTGCGATACCCTACAAGCAGCCCCACAATCTCGTCTCCATCCTCTCAAACAGCCCCGCTCGCTCAATACTACCGCGCAAGATGGCCGCCAGCCGGCCCATGTTTCCTGCAGAGAAGCACGTCTGCTTCCGCACCCCCCTTGAGGAGGAGATCACCACGACCAGATATACATTGGCCCACTCTGACCTTGAGTCGTCCGTCTCTACCCTGTCCACCATCTCGTCCGTTGCCTCGTCCACCGACTCGGACGTGTCAGCCGCACACCATTCATTGATTGTCAACACTTCCAACACGTCTTCCACCACGAGCATATCGCCGCTCCAGTTGTCGCTCCAAAAATCCACCTCGACCTTTGCATCCGCCGAGAGCTCGCCGCGCTCAAAAGGCCCACGCGCTGGCGACAAGCGGGATTCTTCCTCGTCCGAAGACGAAAGCGACTCTTGTCCCCAGACCCCCATCGCTGGACGACGGAAGAGGACAAGAGACTGGCGCTGGACCCTCGGCCCCCTGCCATCATCTGACAAGTCGTCTACATCGTCAGCTAGCGAAGCCACCACAAGCGACGACAGCAGCTGATGACGACGCTCAAAGCCACAAATGATGAGTAACAAGACATGATGACGAGTGCAATAAGACAGAGATATACGAGTGTCACAAGACAGAGGAATACGACAGGCGGCGTTTACAAGCATTTTCGGCGTTGCCTTTTGTTGTTGTTGTCATTATTGTTGTTGCTTTTTTTGTCCCAAGATACCACTTGCATATATTGGTCCCCAGGGGGGATTCAATCTACTAGCATTGCATTTTCTTTTTCCACTATTACATATATACTACTACATAGATATTTTTCTAATACGCCATTTCCTTTGTATCTCCTTTCTCTCTATCACCTAGAGTAGAATCTGGATGGATTTCACACATACACACACACACACATACCACATTACAATATCACATACTGGACATGGAATCAGGATCTTGGAACACATCTGTCCGTGACGCGACCATCTGATTGAAGCACGCGCACATGGGGTGCTATATTGCCAAATCCGGTTGTGATCGATTGCACACACGCAAAAAAAGTGGGGGTCCTACGCAGCGCGTGCGCGCTCGAGCGAACACCGGGTTTGTTGATCCTTACCTACCGCGTAAGAACGTGCGCCCATTTGACACGTCGTTGTTCGTATCCTGAGATCCGGGAATCGGAAGCGGAAACACCTTCTATATTATTCTGCATGTTTTCTCCGGCTTGGCCAAGGAATATTCTGCGCCTCTTACTACTTTGTCATTGCTGACGCATACGTTGCATGTGGAGAGAGCGAAATGCACATCAAAAGGCAAAACTTCGGACACTTGAACAGAAACTATAATCTCAGCACGCGCAATGTGCAATGACATCATCACATGCTTGCGCCCACACCCCTACCGAGGATTTTCCCTTCGCGACACGAACTAATGGAAAGATCCGAACCTACCGGCGTCGAATTTGGAAACTTAACCAACCATTCAAAATGCATCAGATAAAAAAAGAGTGAGAGAGAGAGGGGGGAACACGCAGACGCACTACGTATGCGTATACTAAAAGTATACTTACGGATGCAACAATACAAATTAATCCTCCCGAAATGCTCACTAAACTACGCAATCCCGCCACTTTACCGCCGCTCGTGCACCGCCGAACCAAACTACAACCACACCAACGTTCCAACGTTCCCCTTCTCCAAAGGGAAAATAGCACCAAGATCTGTAGTAACAGTACAAGTATTTGCAAACAGCACGCCGCTAAGCCCTAACAACTAAGCCTGCAAATTCCCGCCCCACCCCACTCCCATCCCAGAACAAGAATCAATCCAACACATACGCAAACAGTAAGACATGTGAAACAGCTCCTCCTCCTCCTTCTCCTCCTCAACAACAACAAAACCCTTGTTCGTTTCTCGTTTCCCCCAGGGGAATGGGGGGTGGGGTTTAATTTGACAGAGTTTGGCAAAAATGGGGAACATCTCAGACAAAAAAGTCTCTCTTTCCGGATGTTTCCTAGTGACTGGAAAAATTGGGAATTGGGGGAAAGTAACAAGGGAACTTGGTTTTGCAACGGATTTTTGCAAATCTCTCTTGTTACGTTGGATAAGGTGAGATGGGGGGATGAAACGTTGAGCGCCGTTCGGCAGGGGGTGTTGGGAGTCGGACCGTGGAGAGAGAGAGGGAACGCAGAACGTGTGTCTGTGCGGGTTGAAGGTGGGCGGGGGGTGTCGGGATTGGGGATTGGGAAATAGTTTGGATGGAAGGCGGGGCGAGGTGAGGCGAGGCGAGGGGGGTTTGCATTTCATTTTATTTCAATTTTTTCTTCACTTTTTTATTCTGAGTTCGCAATATATATATATATATATATATCTCAAGGGGAAGGGAGTGGGAGGGTTTGGATGGATGCATAAGTTCTGGGTGTCATCTCGCAGCAGCGACAAATGCAGTTGTACGTGAGAGAGAGACATTCGTATCAATCTCACCCACCAAGCTAAGCTAAGAGCAAAGGAAAATCAAAAAAAAAATCAAAAATCAGAGTTACAGGTACTTGGGTAGTTGCACATAATCTAATCGATACACCTCCCTTATCCTCCTTATCCTTCACAAGCACCAACCAACCAACCACCAAAAGCCCAGACCACCCGTCCACCAAAACTCTAACTACACACTCCTAGCTCTTCCCCCCTCTCTTTCCCACGTGGCCGCCCCAACCACCCAACCACCCTAGCTTTTTTTTCTTCCCCCCTTACCATCTAGCCCCCAAGCCCCAAGTGCAAGCGCTCAAGCCAACGGGGGGGGGGGGCGGGAAACCACCAAATCAAACCACACACCCCACCTCGCCCTCCTCCTCCTCTTCCTCTCAACAAAAAAACAAAACATGTTCTAAAGAAAATAAGTTTCCCGTCGATCGCTATTTTGTTAATTTCAGGAGCCAATGCGTGTGTGTGCGTATGCGCGTATGTGCATATGTACGTGCGTGCATCCGTGCATCCGTGCGTTGCGTGAACGGGTATATCAAAAGGTTATTAAGATTGGGCAAGGAAGGAAGGAGGGGAGTAAGTTAGTTGTATGGGTTGGGAGATGTGTAAGGAGGAGGAGGAGGAGGAAGAGGAGGAGGAGGTGGTGGTGGTTGGGAGATTAAAGGTGTAAACTATTCGAGTTCAATCACAGATGCAAAGGGAAACTTAGATGCGAGAGTTTTTTTTTAGAGTTTTTTTTTAGTGGGTGGCGGTGGGAGAGGGTAAGTACTACGGTGGGAATACGGCGAAATGAAAGACGGGAGGAGGGGTGGGGGGGGGATACTAGGAGGGTAGATGGTGCGGCTGGGGGGAGGGGGGGAAAGGGTGATTGGTAAGGTGTGAGTAAGTGGAGAGTTGAGGATAGTGGGTTTGGGGGGGTTCTCTGGGTGGAGATTTGGAAAGGGAAAAGGGGAGATTAAAAGGTGGTATTTTGGGCGTGCGGGTATTTCCGTTGGATGGTACTAGTGTTGAGTACTACGTACTTTAGTGGGAGTACTTAGGAACACGCTTGATAACTTGGCATACGTACGATGTGAGTATGGAGCTGTTTTGGAAAAAAAAAACAGAATTAAACAACGTCTATACTCATCCACAACTACCCCCATCCGTCTCCAACGGACCCTTCCCACTATGGCGAGAAAATTAAAAGCGATAACTAAAACAAAATAACCTATCCTCCCTCCATCTCATCCCGCCCAAAAAATAGAGTAGATAGAACCACACATCCCAACTCACTGCGTCTGCCCCCCAGCCGTAAAATCCCACCGTCTCGTCCCCATTGCCCACAGCATAGCTCCCACCGCCCCTCCAAACAACACAACCATAAACGCCACAAAAAACGCCCGATGCCTCTTCCTCCGCTTCTTTTTCTCCGTCTCATCTACAACAACCACCCCAGTTCCCCCCACCCTCCCCCTCTCCATCTTCCTCATCCTCTCCGCATTAGCCAAAACACTCTTCTCCACCTCCTCCTTTGACCGCTCACTTCGCTGCTGCCGCTTGACCTTCACCTCTGACGCCCTCCCCATGGGGTACTCGTGCGTAAAGCGTTTGGAATACAGCGCTTCGGGGCCTCCAAACACCGTGTCCGCGGTATCATTCGCACCAGACGTCCGTACAAGAGGGCGAGACGAACGGTTCCGAGCGTAAGCAGCAGCGGCCTCTTGCTTTTCCTGGATGAATTTCTCGAAGCGCGAGTCGAGAGTGCCGTCGCGGGCCCATTGGGCTATCTCGTCGAGTTTAGCGGCGAGGTCCGAGGCGGAGAGGTGCTGGGTTAGGTCGAGGTAGGTTTGCAAGTCGATCTTCGAGACGTCGACGCCTTTGGAGCGGAGCTGGGCGGCGAGCGGCGACCAGGGGTTTTTGGCGTGGGGTGCGTCGCCGGATTTGTTGGTGGGGTTGGGGGCGAGCAGCCATGTTTGCGCTTGGTGGATGAAGTCGGCGAGTGAGATGTAGGCGAGGCGGATGCCGTGGCTGGCGTTGTTTTCATAGAGGACGAGGGCGTCGTAGCGGGCGGCGAGGCCTTGGGGGTACCAGTCTCCTTTTTCCAGACGCAGGGTTTCGGGCTTGCTGAGTGAGGTTAGGATTGCCATGAGTGCTTTGTCTTGTGCTGTGTAGACTGGCTGCGGAGTGTCTTGGGACGAGGTTGTGTAGCGGGAGGAAGATGGCTGCAGGTGCTCCTGTGGGTGTTCCTGTGAGTGCTCGAGTACGACTTGGATTCTGTCAATTATGCTGCGAGGTCCGAGTACTGGATTAGACAAAGAACATGTGTTAGCAGCAGCCTTCTTCCCAGTAATGTGGCCAAAAAAAAGGTTACGTACAGTAAGGAACGGCATCACTAATACGACCCAGCTTGAGTCCTTGATATTCGGCCACAACATCATAGTCAGGTCTCGTCTTTGGAGTCGGCACAACCAGACTCGTCACAAATCCCATCATCTTTGGGTTCTCGCGCCTAGCCGGGGAGAGCGTCGAGTACTCGTGCCGGTACCTTGAGAGAGACGAGCGAGGAGAATTCCAGCCTTCACCGTGCGGCCCAAGGTGATAGCCTGCGGGTGTAACCAACTTCCCGGGGTAATCAATAGGCGTATTGGCCATTGCTGGATGCGTGACATGATTGCCATCCCAAGGAGGAGTGCTCGCGTCTGCCGAGTCACCTGTGGTATCACCTGCTACTTTTAGATGTGCCGGCGGCGCCACCTGGGGATAATCGGCGGGAGATACATTCTAGTATCAGTGTCAATACAGCCTCCACATACAGAACAATTCATATACCTTTTCTCTGGGCCATGCCGTAGCATCAGTAATGGGAGGCGCCACAGAAGCCATTGATTGCAAATAGCGAGTCTGTGACTTGAGTGAAGAAGAAAGGTGTCTCAGGACATGAACAAGAATCACACACTTGGACTGGGAATGAGATAATACAACGTTTCACACTGGCTACGAGGAATCGAGGACAATGTATAAGTCTGGTGATCCCTGGTTGACACCGGCAACCAGGTTCGAGGCTGTAGTGCTGACATGTACTCGAGGTCTTGTCTTTGGGTGTACCAAGCAATATAGCTAACAGACGCAGCTAGAACACAATCATGCACGTAATTCCGCTCAACAGGGCCCTGGTACCAAAAATTGGAATCACACGCTCTTCGCTGACTCTTCGTTACTGGTGTTCGGCATTTGTGCTACTGATAAGTGATCTAGATGGTATCATGTATACCCCGTTGCTGGGAATCATGTTGTAATAGATATCGCTGAATACTGGCCTCAGCCATCGCTGCTCAGGGCTTTGGCATCTTCCACAGCGGCCCTCGCAATCTTTTTCAGAAGCGACTTGTAATCCGCCTCACGGAAAGCTTCCCATCGATCTAGGCCTTCACTGGTATCAATAGACAGAGTCTCATACCCCTGCTTGATTACAGCCTGTACTTCTTGTGGACTCAGATGTTTGCTACGTGATTTCCCCTTCTCTTCAAGTAGTGAATGATAGTGAGATGACACATTCACAAGTGTCTGCATCGAGTCGGATTGACCAGATAGACCAAAGGCATCTCTGAATTTGATGAGGACGTCGCCACTCTCAACTAGTTTGTAGAAGAGATCGTCGTATGCTGCAGAGTCGGGAAGGAAGTTTTCTCCACTGGAGAGGGCAAAAGCCAACAGATTGACCAGGAGATTGATCATGCTATTCGACTTGTAGTTTGATTTGATGTCGCTCTCGTACGTGGTGAGGAACCGGACAAATGATAGTAATGTTCTCCAAAGCTCCGACCAATGATACGTGATGCGGGCTTTTGTACGACTGAGATACGAGAGCAGCCGCAACAAAACGCCCAAGCATAGTCTTCGTATGTTAGCCAAGAAATGGTGCCAACAGCAAAGGACTTACATGTAAAAATCCACATCTAAACGTCTCCGTAGGTTATGACTGATGCCATCAGACATCATGTCTAATATGATAGCCGCAGGAACCCGCTCGCCTCTCACAATTGGAAGATACGGCTGTCGTTGGCGACACAGGCGCACTGAGAGCTTCGTCTCATCACTACACAAGCGCTTGCAGAGCGCCGGGTCCTCGACAAGTATTTGCAGGACGAACAGATTTAGGTACGTGTACATGGTGGCTCTGGTAGACCGATGTGCATGCTGGAACATGTACGAAGTCACAGAGAGGAACTCGCTAAAGGGTGACGATTGGTTCTTATTGCCCAGTCCGAAGGTAACCAGGTTGTAACAGAAGACCTTGTTGGCATTGGTAAAGTCAAAGGTAGAGAGGAGCACGCCAGCTTCTGGCCCTGGCCTGCAGGATTATCAGCAGTTGTTGGGTATATTACAGGCGTTTATGCTTACATTCCGGCAAAAAGCGATTTTGCTTCGTCCGGGGGTGGGGGCACGGGTGATGCAGGTCGAGAGTTTGGGGCAAGAGCACCCAAGCCGATATAGCTCAACGTCGAGCCCAGCGTCCAGCCCTCGGGCATGTCATCCTGAACGGCTACGTAGGCGTCGCGTAATTTTGTGCAAGTAGCGCCTAGACATGCTATCATGTCTTGTATAATAGCGTCGTTTACGAAGTCCTCTAGTCTCAGTCTGTAGGGATTCTGGAACTCGAACTTGTTGTAGTTTGCGAGCAGACCGAGAAGGTATAGGGCAGGCACAATGTCAGTGCTGTTGTCACAGTCGTGTGTATACTTGACTAGTGCGGGGAATAGGTCTCGGTGGGTGAAGTAGGAGGGGAGTGCTGTCTGGAAGCCCGCACCAGTCATGGCGAGAGCGCATCGAATCGCTTTTTGGCGCAGCGATACTAGTCGTGGTCAGCTTACTGTTATAGCTAACAGTGAGACAACATACTGTCTCGTCCATTGCGTATAGCAGTGTCCAGTGTAGCGACAAAGTCGGTCATGACGGCATCGGCATCGTTGAGACCAGCGAGGACAGAGATGATGTCGGAGCTTGGATTGGTGTACTTCTTAGCAAGGGCGGCGTCGAGGAAGACTGTCAAGGTCTAAGCGGTAAGCGCGTGCGGCCTGTGAATACGCATGTCGTAGGCGTACCTCGAGGGCAATGTCATCGGCCGGGGCTTTGGCCTGCTTTATGCGCAACATGGCCTGGCTAAAGAGTTGCTGCGAGTGGGCTTGCTGGTGCAGCATCTCGTCGGGTGCCATGGAAGCCAGGACACGCTTGAGGCCTGCTGGTTCTGGCTTGTGTAGGAAGAATTCCCGCCAGAAACCCTCCGAGGGCTCCACAAGCTCATCATCTGTTTGCTGTCATAGGTCAGCAGCGTGGTGTTGAGGCGCATTCGACACCAGCGCACCTTGAATAGGGTTTCGTAGAGGTGAACAATCTTGGGCTGGAAGATCTGGGGCCGCGAGACTTGGGTCAGCGGCGACGGCTCCATGACTGCTGGCGTAAATTGCTTCTACCGAACGGGCACAATCGTAGCATATATGTGCGTACGTATGTATAAGTGCTGGTGTCGCGTCGTGCAGGCTTGGGACACGGGGACCTAATTAGCGGGCCGTCGACGATCGATAGCCCCACCATATCGCACGTGTGAGATCAGATTGCATGTCAAGGCTGCTCTAACCCAGGTACGAATAGAAGCGCCTCGCACATAGGACGCTAGCATGCGTAGAGTACCTGTACCGGTGCCTTATCTGTTCCAACAAACGCATAACCATCAGAAACCGTCGTGGATGTAGACAACCCCCGCCACCACCACCACCATCACCATGTCCTCGCCCCTCCTTGTCGGCATATCGGGTCCCTCATCTTCCGGCAAGACAACGCTGTCCCGCCTACTGCGCGACGTATTCCCTCCCTCTAAACTCTTCATCTTGCATCTCGACGACTTCTACCTAACGGATGCTGAAATTCCCGTCAAGAACGGAATCCAAGACTGGGACTGCATCGAGTCACTCAATCTGCCTGCGCTCAAGCAAGCCCTGGACCACATCAAAGACCAGGGCAAGAGTCCAGACTGGCTAGTCAGCCAAGAAGACCAAAACAGCGTTGGTGAGCATGGCGTGCCTGAACCCGAGATCCAGGCACTACGCAAGCGAGTTGCCGGTTTGCTTGAAGGCAAGCCAGAGTGGGGCGAAAAGCGGATATGCATTGTGGATGGCTTCCTACTCTTTTCCCAAGACATGAAAGATATACGCTCCACGTTTGACGTCCGCCTTTTCCTCCGCACTAGCTATGAGACTGCAAAGCGGAGGCGCGAGGCCAGGAGTGGGTACGTGACGCTCGAAGGCTTCTGGCAAGACCCGCCAGGCTATGTAGACAAGATTGTGTGGCCCAACTATGTCCACGACCACAGCTTCTTGTTTGAAAACGGCGACGTCAATGGCCAGCTGGACAGTAAAATCTGCACAGAGACTGACATTTATGGCATGCCCAAGGAAGCTGAGGAGAACATGGCCAAGTGCCTGAGCTGGGCCGTGGGGGTCTTGGAGGATGTAATCAAGAAATCTTAAGACGTCACTAAAGACGAAAACAAAAATCTTCGTCGAAACGTATATTAATATGCTAGAATCTGTGCAAAGAGAAGATGTCGGTATCACCCGAATACTCTCACCCTAGACCATTCCAACTACAACGCCAATGCGCCAACCCAACAGTGCCCACGTCCATGCAGCAGATCATAGTACATTTGCGTCAGAGTGACTCAATAGGAAAACAAATTAGAGGCCCTTGATCTCTTGCGGTCGAACCAGTCATCCTCCTACGTGCTTGATTTGACCTTGTCAATGTAGGCTTGTCCTGGGCTCTCATAAGTGGGCACAAAGAACGTGTTAATCTGGGCATCCTTGGACAGCCACGTTGTCATCTGGCTGAGTTCTTCGCGTAAGCGAGTGACTGCCTGGTGATCCATATTGGTCTGAGCAATAAGCTCTGGCATTGTAACTAAAGTACATGGTTAATCATTGCGAAATCTGTATTCTGGGGGATAACTTACCCAGGAGGCGCAAAAGGTGCTCGCCACCATAAATCTCAGCGAGCGTCTTGCCGGCAAGCTCATCAGTCGGCTGTTGAATGCGCGTCCAGATATCGTAAAACTGCTCGCGCTCAAAGCGGTACAACAGGAGACGCCCAACACTCTTGTTGAAGTACTCTTTCAAACCTGCAATCACCTCTTCAAGAATGTCGCGCTCGGTGCTGCTACGAGCTCCAGTTTGAATGGCGTATTTCTGATACTCATCAAGAATGACACCCGCCGGATGCGCTGAAGGCAGCTGCACCAGCTGCAGGTTCTTGGTGATGTTTTCCCAGTCGTCAACCAAGAGGCTCTTCAGCCTGTCGGGCATGTAAATCCTGACAGCCAGCTTGTTCTGGAATGTCTCTTCCTGTGGTTCAGTTAGCCGGTCGTCTCGGGGCAAATAAGTTGCTTGGCTTCGCCGAGCCTTCGTACCTTTTCGAGGTCGTTGTCGCGAACCCTCTTTTGACCACGAGGTGCAGCAGTGACAGAGCTTTGCCGTTCTTCGCTGCCACGCACTGAGCCCTGCGCCTTCTTCTTAGCGGGCGCGGGTTGAGCTCTTGCGGCGCGTTGAGCGGCCAGCATCTCGTGTCTCAAGTTGTTAGCCAACTCCCGGTTCTCGGGGGTTAGCTTGCGCAGGCGGTCCTCGGGAACCCAATCGTCCCAGCTGCAGAGTGTTAAAAAATTCGCTCAAAGGTGACAACAGAGCGTGTATAAGAAGATTGCATGTTTTCGAGATGATATAGGCCCGTCTCGGAAGCAGTGGTATCCTGGTTGCGAAAGGGGCCTGTAGTGCATGGGGGGGACAAGGCAAACATGACTTGACAGTCGAAGATGCAGGAACGGCGAGTAGACGTGAAATGAGTAAGCTGAGATATACGTACGTGTTCTTCCACCCCTTATAGTGCACTCTGTACTCGAAGCCATTCTTCTTCTCGTCGCCTTCGACGGGTCGGACTTCAAGGACCTTGGCTTCGTACAGCAGCTCGTGATGGAAACAAAACACTTTCTCGTCTTTCCTAAACGTCGCCTCTGGAGTAGCTGCTGGCGCCATGGTTGTGATGATATTTGGCGATTTTGATGTTGAAGTGTTGGGCAGTCAGAAGGGAAGGCGTGAAAGGTGCGCGAGATTCACCGACCACGTATCGCGTGCCCCTGTGAGTACCTCTAGCCTTACGAAGATGACTACCGCGACAGCGTGAATGCTTATTTCGACCAAAACGATGAGCCAACCGACGAATCCGGCCAGACAAAATCAATCGACGTTTGCTACGATGTCATCGCAGGCGATTCACGGGAGTCTTTTCTCGCACGGACCAGCACGCGTCGCGTTGTCAGGACTCCTCTCTCAGCAGCCCACCAACGACACTGCCCTGTCACTGCACAGTCTCTATACCGACCATGCCCTCGCAAGAAGCCAAGATTCTGGGTGACTTCCTACTAACTCCGGCTCCCTTACGCGACTTCATCACACTGCGCGAGTTCACCGACATATTCCCCCGTGCCCATCGTGCCAACCCAGCTGTCCAGGACATCTACCGGGAACTCCAAAGACTGCGCGATAAGGACATAGAGCTCGTCCGTCGAGATATTGCCGATGAGGTCAAGCGATCAAAACAGCTGAGGCGCGAGTATGCGCGCGAGAGACGTCAAGTCGACGATGCAACTGTCGCAGGTCTAGACCCCATAGCACTTCAGATGGAGCAAGAGGTTTGTGTGCACTCGATCTTGCAACACCATCTTCAGCTTGCTTACACGATATACAGTTATCCGGCGATGGTCGCAAGAAACCACACACGCTACAGACGGTCCACTCCGACATTGACGAGGCTTGCCAAAGTCTCGAGGCACAAATTGCGGAGATAGAGCAGCAGAATAGAGACGTCTTGCGCGAGGTGCAAGATGTGGTTGGTGCACTCAGCGACCTACGACATGGTCGCTTCCCTGCATCAACCAGTGGTGATAGTCTCGGGGAGGAGGTCACTGTAGCTCTTCGACAACTCGAGACTGTATGCGGGAAGCCAGTAGGATGAAGCCCGCTCGAGGTAGTCATTACCGAGGCAACTTATCATCAGCAGGGGACCGTTGGTCTGCTTCTCTGTGTATAATTCACCAAGACAGGTTTTGCATGTGCGATGCAGCCATTCTGCATCTCCTCTCAATGCATGAACGTTGGATATAAGCTCTGATGGACATGTCTCCACAAGAGCCGGCTGCGGCGGGACTACACGTCTTGCATAGAAACCTACACATGGTCACAGACACAGAAGCGTCGTACCTGAAACTGGAATCTTACTTGTTCCCGGGCCTCGTATCATTTTGGACGCGGAGTACAGCGCCGGTTCGCCGAGCCTAAGTATCGTACCCTGAAGCGGACCCCGCGTCTCAAGACTATTTGGGAAAAAGCAGGAACAAACTAACAGCTCCACATTATACAAGGCTATTCATAAGTGGCTCTCGATCGGCATTGCACGTTTTGATCGCTCTGGGTCACCAGACCTTTCTGCTCTCATTGCTGTTTTTCTCTTTTAGGCGACTTGCCGGCTATTGCAGCCGCAATGTCAGTCGAATCGACGTCGACTTCTTTCACATGGCCTGTCTTACCTAGTCAATGCCATTCTCCCGTCGTCAACGTTTACATCCCTGCCAACTTTAACCATGTGTGACGCGTGATTGGCTGCACGAAGCACCGCAATTAATCTACTTATATGAGCAACCTCAATATCGTAAACATTATATCTAGCGGCTACTAAAGACATATCCATGTACGGCATCGCCTATACGTGTCCACATGCTGGTAAAAGACTTATATGGTGTCAAGTAGGCAGCGTTTGAAAATTTGGTCACGGATCTGTTCATGTTTCCCGAGCAAGAATGATCTTCTCAACTCTTTTTGTGACACTGGTGTCACTAGCGACATGGACGGAGCCAGTATCCGCCAGCTTAAGAATCACGGCTGACCATCATTCCTTTGGTGGCGTCAATTACCCCCAGCTGCAATTTTTTGCACCAGAACACAGAGACAATACTATCAGAGAAATCATCAAGAGCGGTGCAAGAGTTATACGGCTGTTCAGTACGTAATGATTTTCAAAATTCTATCATCGTATGCTAATGATTCTATAGTACGCCCAGATGATCTCCATCCAGATGTAAGAAGAGCGCTTACGGAGAAGAAAGAGGGCACCTTGTTGACAAATTTGCATAGCCTGAGCCAGAGCTGGGCTCTTTTGACAAGTCCTTGCTTGACCAATTCGACGATACGTTGGCGGCTATTCACCATCTTTCTAAGGGTACAGTACACTGTGCTATCTAGAATTGCCCCTCTGTGTGTTAACAGAAGCGTACAGGCCAGATGAAAGTTATTATTGCCCCGCACGACGCGCATGCGCTTCGGGGATCTAACGATGTTCCCTGTGACGCTTACTGCAAGGATCTCGGAGGATACTTCCTTGACTTCTACAGTTCAGATAAATGTATGTCTCCATTTTTTTTTCGTTAGAAGAAGATAATGTTAATTGTGCTTGATAGATCGAGAACTATATAAAACACGTCTCGAAGTTTTCTTCAAACACTATCCCTCCAAAAACTTTGACGGACGTTCATGGGGCAGCCTCTCTGAAGTCATTCTTGTAAGCATCTCTTTGAATCCAAATGTAAATATATATGAATTTCTAACACTGCACAGGGCGTCGACATCCAAAATCAGCCTTTTAGCGGCATATTCCCCATTCCCGCTGGCGAGTCCTGGATCTGCGACATGGCTTCTCATCTAAAATTTACACTCGGCCTTGATGCATCCTCCATTGCCGTCATCAGCGGCGGCGTGTCAGGCGCTCAGAAACCAGATGAGTGGCAAAACTTCCCCGACAGCGTGTTTGACTGCAAAGCCATCGACATTATTGGCATCCACGGATATTTCTCCAAGCAACACGATGCCACGGCAGGAACGCCATGGGCAAATATGTTTGTGCCTGGAAACACGCTGACGGGTCGCGCCAAAGGGAAAAAGAAGGGCGACGGTAAATTGTTGTTGGTTGAGGAATGGAGTTATGTGCACAATGATGATTTTGGGCTGTTTTACAAGCAAGAAGCCCTGTTTGATCAGGGCAATGCTTTGAACTATAGGGGAATACCATGGGTACGTCACTTTTCATGGATGTTCTTCAACCGTACACCAGCAACGAGCAAAGGAACCAGAAGATATACTGACAAGACAAAAACAGCTATACTCCCACCTCACGACCGTCGAAGAGGGAAAGACCGCTCGGATCAACCCTCTTCAGCCCAGCTACACCAGCTGGACCGCTCTCAAACAGGTGTTGAAAGCTGCTCAAACCGCACGCTCAAACTTCAACTGGTCCACGTACCTCCCCGCTCCCTTCTCCATCAAGCCCCTGACCGAAGACGAAAAAACCGCCCAAAAGCTGCGCTCAATGCTCACAAACTCTAACACACAAGAATTCGCCATCCAACCCCTCGGTCTCTCAAACATCACCTCAATCCCCCTCAACCCCTTCGTCCTCGACCAATCCGACTGCACCTTCGGCTGCGAAGGCCATCTCTGCTCCGCCCAAGACAGCTGCCTCCCGCATCTCTTCTGCAAAAACAGCATCTGCACCAGCGACTCCGCGCAACCCGGCAAAATCGGCGACATGTGCACCTCCAAAACACCCTGCCAACCCCATCTCTCCTGCTCAGCCGGAAAATGCCAGCCCTGCACCGCCCGCACAACCATCCAGCCCCCAACTCAAAAGCGCAAGAGAAGCATCCCAAACGAACCCTCACCCCTCCCCACACGTCGAGAATACGAGGATCAACTCCTCGGCGGTCCTATACGCCCCAACTCTCTAACAGGGCAATGCCACACCGACTCCCTCCCCCACCTCTTCTCCACCCTCCCCCCGCGCATCGCCCTCTCCTCTTCAAACCCCCCTCCCCCCATCTGTCTCCCACCAACCCACCACCCCGCCCCCTGCACTTCCCCCTCTCACTGCTCCGCCGACGAATACTGCTCCTGGGGCTCCTGCGTCGCCTGCACCTCGGCCGACGCGTGCCTGGGCTCTTCGTGCCGCAGCAACAACAAGTGCAAGACTGGGTACTGCAACGATCATGGACGCTGCGATTATCCCTCGGCGAGGATTAAGAAGAGTTTTGGTCCCGGGGGAGCCAAGATGGGCAAGGTGAAGAGAGTGCCTGGGGTGCCGAGGGGGCACGAGAGTGGGCCTGCGAGAGTGAGGGATGAGGCGATGCGGATTGTGATTCCGGAAGAGGAGGTGATGAATACGGCTGCTGCGGCGGCGGCGATGGGGAAGGTGTAGATTCTTGTCTTTCTTTTCTTTTCTTTTTTCTGGTTTAGCAGGGAGGGGCGGCGTTGCAGGGGGGGGGGGTTGCCAAGTTAAGAAATGAAAGATGAAATAGGGGATATATGATATATCTCCGTGGTGTATGTCAAGGGAAACATTGCAAATCAACATTACAGAACTTTTTCTCTTCCCGTTTCTCTTGTTCTTTCTCGCTCTTCGAATATTCAATAGATAGAAATAGTAGGTATTTTCCTATTTATGCAGATACATATCTACCTTTCCAACATACAGAAAAATGCAAATAAAAAAAAGGGAGAAGGGGGTATCGCAGTCTCCAAAAAACTCCTAATTCATAGCGAGTAAATCACCTTTTATCTCTTGTGGATTATGCAAAATGCGTCCAATAAGATTTCTTTTTGTTTCTTCCACATTTCCTACGTCCATGACCTTAGTAAGACATGTTTCTTTTTTCTTCTTCTAATTCCCGGTACCCAAAAAAGCCAGGTTTTCCTTTGCCTTCATACCAAGTCACCGCGGAGCACTCGTGGCATCGATAGTCATCAATCCAACAGGCGTTACCCAACTGAACCCACGTGCTCATGTTGGTCGCAGGCGAGGTAGAACTTCTTTTTGCCTTCATCTCTCATCACCCTGCCACCTTTCGATATGCAATGTTGTCCTCGATTAACTTCTCCAAAAACGTTGCTGCCTCAACCAAGATCTGACTCTTGCTCAACCCACCACCACGAACTGCAGGCACGACTTCGTTCAAGTCCTTGTAGCCTTGCTTGATTAAGTCGCGACGCTTCTGTTCAGAAAGAATATGGTTATTTCGTTTTTGCTCTTCGGTCAGGTTTTCGCGATGTGTCTTTTGGGTGCTTGTTGCAGCCCGCTTCTTCTTACTGTCATCTGTAAGCGACGTCTTGCGAGCTTTTCCATTGCGCACAGCCTTTCTCGGGGTTTCCTTTCCAGGCTGGGCTATTGACTTCTTCCGCCTTTTTGCTGGTCGATCGTCATGCTCTTCCTGGGATGCAGAGTCGTCAGACCGCTCGTCGTCGTCATCATCATCGCGTGATGCACCGACAACGGCTGACGATGAGTCTTGATATGCAGCCGAGGTAGTGCGCACGGTATCAATGCCTGCTACTGCTCGTAAAATATGTTGGTGGGCCTCTTCTACGTCGTTGATGGAATGCCTTGCCGCGTTGTGCTCGGCCGAGCGGCCGTTTGCGCCCGAGTACCCAGACGGGCTATTGAATGAATTGTCTGTGCCAAAAGTATAAGACCTCTTTAGGTCAATCTTCTGCAACGGCGGACCAAAGTCTGTTTGGGTGTGCTGCGGAGCCTTGCTTGTCCACTGCGGCGGGAATTGGGGGTCTATGGCATGTCCACTGTGATTCGGCAGCAGCGAGGGCATGCGCTGGTTCATGAGGCCGTGTGGTTGGACGCTCATTGGCAGAGGAGCGTGGTTCAGGCTGGGCGCGACGTTTGTCGGATAATTGGTGGCCGCAGCCGGCTGCTCAGCAAAGCTATGCAGGCGGCCGTTTGTATACGATGGCTGGGCGTGGTTGAAGAGAGTGGCAGCTGCCTGGAGCTCATCCTGGGTGTTTGCCAGGAAGCTTCCGTGGAGCGAGGACGAAGAAGCATGGTGGGGTTCTTGTGGAAAGGTGGTCTGGAGGCGGGCCTGGTCGGGTATGGTGCTGGTGACGCGGTGGACGGTGGGCGGGGCGATGAAGTCCTCCCAGTTGTTGTAGTCGTGGGCGGTGGACTTGTCGTCGAGGGCGGGGGGTATGTGCTGGGGGTCGAGCAGGTCGAAGGGGTTGGTGGAGGAGAAGAAGTTGTCGAGCTGTTGGTTTTCCATGTCGCTGAGCAGCGAGGGGCCATTGTTGTCATAATGAGGGGCTGCGTTGTCGAAGAAGTCGTCGGAGAAGGTGTCTGGACCGGGCTTGTCAGTGCTAGAAAGTGGCGGTGATGAAGGGAACTGGGGTAGCATACAGCCAAATGGCGGCGGGTCCTTGTCGTTCATGGCGGGACGAGGGAGGCCTGTGGCCGTAGAACCCGCGAGCCCCGCGAACGGCTGGTGCGACAGTGCCGCCAGGTTGAAGGGCGGGCAGAAGGATGGGACGGAGGGTTGAGAGTGGAGAGTGGTGAGGATGAGAGACGAGGGTCGAGGGACGAGGGCGAATGGCCGGGGGCGGAGACAAGATTAGCGCATTCGACGGGCCGGTCCAGCGGCGATGGTGGTGCGAGGCTCTGCGATTGAGGCTATCGGGGCGCTGTTGGGAAGTGTTTGGCGCGGTATGACGTGAAGAAGTAGGGCGGATCGCAATGGCAGTGGCTTCTGTTGTGGCTGTGACTGTGACTGCTGGCGGCGCCGTGTCGGGGTCAGGTTTTTGGGATATCTACGGGGCGGGGCATATCCAGCAGCTTGCTCAGCAGGAGAAAGCGAGGCGGGGAGCGTGGCTCACGGGGCGTGGTTGGGCGCAGAGGGCAGTGGTGAAGGTAAGTCGGGCGGATGCGCGCATGAGAAGTTCCATGTTCACATGCCAGCCAGCCAGCCAGACTACGGCGGCCGCCCAGGCCCAGAGACACAGACGCATACACACACACCCACCCACACACACGACCGCCCACCTGGCCTGCCCATCACAGCCTAGTCGCCGAACCATTCGCTTATTCCTGCCCGCCTGCCCCCGGTCCGCCAAGCTTCCCGAGCCGCCGTCCGGACCCCGCCGACATTCACCTGCACTCACACGCTTCCACTTCTGCTCCTGACACCACCACTCCCGTCTCCAGCCCGCCCGCCCGGCCAGGGAGCCCCCAGTGTCAATCTGGGGAAACAGACAGGCTCTATGCTGCATGCAAGTACTTACATTGCACTACACGACACACTATGACATGTACCCGTCCCGTGCCTTCTTCACAGCACGCTCCTCCTCTTCGACAGCTTCTGGTACTGCCGCCGTGTCCTCGTCAGCCCGTCTTCCATCTCATAGTTGGACGGAATGCTGCCCCGTCTCAACGAGTTAACTGCCGGCCGGAAATTCTCGACGGCATTAACCGACCCCAGCTGGGCTGGCCTCTGTTCTACTCTGACCCCTAGCCCGCGTTTCACCGTTTCTGTCACTGACGCCACGAAACTGCTGACCCCTCTGCCAATGCCCTGACCAGCTGCTCGTGTATGCACATGCCCATCTTCACATCCGCCCATGAGAGGTGCTTTCTCGCCTGGCTCCATGTACAGATGGCTGCCCTCGTGGTTGACGAACCAATTGACCCCGTACTGCTTGCCCTGAGGCCCGCCGCCACACGACCCGGCAAGCACATGCGAAGGCGGCGAATTGACTGCCAGCGCAAACAGGTTGGGCGGCTCAGAAAAGTCCGTCACGAGACCGCGGTGCAGGATGAAGTAGATGAGAACAAAAATGTTCATGAGGAAAACCAGCGCGAGAATGATGATCCAAGCTTTGGAGGCTCCGGGCATGCCCCCCGATGCGTACTGTTGGGCCTTGAGCGACGCATTAAAGTATTGTGTCTGGTACTCATCCAGCGCGGGATGTGTGTAATCCTGTGACGAGCGTCAGATATCTTGCGTCTCATTACACATCAAAACTCACGTACCCACGTAGTCACAAACGGCGTATCCACCATGCTCAACAGGAGCGTACAACTCGACAGCACCGCTAGCGCCTCTGCCATACTCGGCAGCGCACGACTTAATTCGACTTTAAGATTGTCTGGATCAGGATTATCCGGCTTGAGAATGAACTGTGTCAGCAGCCTCGATGTGCTCGCATTTGCATCCATGAGCCCCGTGCCTAGCGAAAGGCTATTTGCCCAGTCCGTCCCGACATCGCGCCAATTAGCCACCCCAAATGTGTTCTTACTCGGTGTCTCTCCTGTTTCTCGAAACGCCATTTTGTCCTTTGGGTCTTCGCACAGTACTTCCATGCTCCCGCCGGATCCTGTTACGTTGTGGCGTGTGCTGCACCCAGGCGCGATCGACACTTGAAGCTTGCATACAGAGTAGATGCCCGTCCCGTCCCTACCCATGTCGTCTGGTCCGCCCTGCCCAAGCAGGTAAATCGCCGGCCGGCCCCATGCATTGCTCGTATGATTGAGTATCGTGTTGAAGGGAATTGGGTACCTTCCAAACACTGGCGGCCAGTTTAGCGTTGTCGTATCATTGCCGTCCCATCCAAACAGCTCGTCAACCACCGTCTTGTTCTGCGTACTCGCTCTATCTCTGATGCCTGGCGTAGTGACCCATGTGGTGATGTTGACAATATCATCGTTTGGCCACTCGCTGTACACGAGTGGCGCCAGTTCCGTCTTGTTCAAATTAACACACAAAACATTAATCACGGGCGACGGCACCGACGCCCGTAGCGAATACGTCCCTTCCGAATTAAGTTCTGCCGGCTGCAGTATCCCATTGCGCTCATCTCGTGCCGCTGCGAATACACCCGCATGTGGCATCGCCATTGTGATGTTGTTAATCACGCGACCATACTTCTTCGAAACCTCCGTTGTATTGATGATGTTGATCCACTGGCCCGTCACAGTCGTGTTCTCATACAAGAGCCCGAATCCTTGCGGCCTCAACCGCAAATCCGAACTCCCATTTCCGTTTCGAGCAGCAACATCCCAGTCGGACAGGTAGCGCTGAAAGTTATGGTAGCCCTGGCCCGCGTGCTCTAGCTGCACGCACGTTTCGCCCTGGTACTGCTTATCTGTGCGAATGGGCGTCTCGCACATTTGCTTGAGGTAATTGATATTGGCAAAGTCGCTCTTGACACGGCCAGCCAGCACGAGACCATTATCCCAGTTCCCATCTCGCAACATTGGCTGCACTAGTGATGCAGCAGCAGAAGAATACAGCGTAGCTAATATAGCGCTTAGTAAGCTCAGTATCCCAAGAAAGGAGAGGCCAGCGTATTTGGCAGACTCCCACGATGTGATCAGCGTGCCTGGCTGGACTACCCATCGCCACATGCTGAGTTCCGAGAGTGTGACGCCACGGCCGTGGTCTTTCATGAATGCTCGCCGACTGAGCACCTGCCCGAGAAATGTGACAAAAGCAGTAACAAACGACAGCTCAATCAACTTTGCCATGACGGTCGTGATCAAAATGGCATCAGACGGGGTGATGGGTCCGTGACTGGTTATGCGCCGTCCATAGTGCGGAGCGCGAATTGCAAGCGCCAGAAAGATGCCGGAAAAGACGCAAGAAAAGAGACAGATAGTGAAAATCGACAAGTTCAGCCATGTAAACTTGGGATGGTAAAAGTCCTTTGTCGTCGGACACTCATGAACAGGGCGGAAATCATTCTCGTACGCCGACTTAATCGAGGGCGCCGCACCACCATCCCTCAATCTCTGCGCGTCCGACGAGTGAATATAGTTTTCATAGTCGTTTACGCTCGTACTACTGTTCTGCTTCACGTTCTTCAAGATTCCATGGCGGAATTCCTCATACGAGCCTACGGGGCTCGCTCTCCCGACCTCAGGGCTGAACCTTTCTCGACGGAGATCTGGCGTTGACTCTGCTGAGCTCCTCGGGAAATGCCCAAAATAAGGGTCTGTAGCGCTGAGGGGTGAGAGTGGACCTGGGCTCTTTGTTGGTGGGCTTTTGGGTCCAGGGCCAGCGGCTCGACGGGGGAAAGGCTGGATACTGACGCGCCTGGCGGCCTGAGGTACGGCACTGGTTGCAGTGGTAGCAATTCCCAGCCCGGTGTCTTTTCCCCCAGGCTGGAAACTTTGCGCGATGTCGCCTTCGTCTTCTTCATCCTCTTCTTGCACGATACTCGGTGTGTTGCGACTCACAGCCGTTGAGTCGCTCTGGTAGCGAGCGTATCCTGGTCGCGTGGGCGAAAGACCAGTGACTCCAAGGGCAGGAGAGTTACTGGAGAAGCCTAGAGACGGTAGTGCGGGGGTGTTATCAGAACTCTCAGAGAGATCCGGCGTCTCTTGAATAAGTGGTCGACGGTCAGCCATTGTATGCAAGCGTATGTATCCCTACGCCTCGTTTCTTTGCTGATTCTCTTTTTGCGCACTTCTCAGCCTGGTATTACAGACGAAAAAGCGGCAGCGCGCATTAGTAGGTGGCTTGCGTCGAGTTCGTATGTTTTGGTAAATAGACAAAATCCCTGCTAGAACCAAGGGCTGGACATGTGTGGCTCAACAGGCGATAGTAGGGGATTGACAGGTACGGTTTCACAACTATACACTAGGAAGAAACAAAGGGCTGGTTTCAGGTTAAAGATGTAGAATCAGGAATGGAGAGAAAAGAGGTATGTAGCGTTCAGCCGCTTCTCGGCTGAGAGGCCAAGGCTGGCGGGGGATTACCACAAGACCACTAGTAATTATTGTTCCGCCGCCAATCTTGTGCACCTTTTTTCAGCTCTGGCACTCGGCGGGCGGCTGCTTGCTGTGTGCTGCGTGCTGCTGTAAGACTGCGCATCTTTGTGGCGCCTGAGGCACATCTAGCCCCCAAAATATCACACCCACACCTTTCCCAGACCACAGCATTCCAGACGCGATCTGGTCTTTGTCCGGCCTGGATTTACGGCCCCCGCCCATGGGCCGGTAGAGCGGTAGAGCGGTAGTGCGTAGCTGTAGTGCGTAGCTGGCCTTACGCTTTGTGCGCATCTTGACTACGCGATACCTGTCAGACGGCGCTATGTGCCTCCTTTAGGAATTTGCTACGTGCACCGAGTGAACGGGGCAAACAACAGACCCAGTGGGCCAGGCTGTGCAGAGGTACTTGCAAGCGGAAATGAAGGGTGTTGGTTCGTGGGGGGTTGGGGGGGTGCGCAGTTGAATCCCTTGCTTACAAGCAATCGATGTGGCGTAGTCGTGCGGTAGTACATTACAGCTGAGAATATTGGTGGTCAGTGCCACAGAGCCCCTCCTTTTAGTGGGCTTGACGTCAGAAAAAGGCGAGACCTATTACCGTTCGGAGGGGAAGGAGACTCCAGCTACTAGTAGTAGCAGGCGCAGATAGGCACACTTGTACTATGTCCGAAGAAATACATGTAGTAATCGTGACCTTAAATATCACTGCGCATAAGAGTCTCGCGCTCAGAACGAATTAGGATAATGACTGCGCGTCCTCTTACTGTACCTTTATGTGAGAAACAAGAGAGGCCAGCCACCACACTCCTTCCTCATCCAATGGCCTCAAGATGCTCACCAACCAAACAATTCCACTGCTCACTCTCGTAGTAAACCGTAAACCCGTCATCATGCGTCGCCTCTCCCGTACTCACCACCGTATCTCCTAGCTGCCAAAACAAGTCCGCCGCCATACCGCTTTCCCCAAGCCCCAAACTTGTCTTTTGCCATGCCCCTTCCACTGCACACTGTTCTTCCCTCTTCGAAACCCCATATTCCTCCAGCAAACATGGTTTTCCAATCCGTGCACAAACCTCTACATGCAACCTGATCCACTCATCGCCAAACGAGCCCCCAACAAGCCAATGCTCGGGATACAAATGGAACGTGCCAAACGATATGTTCGGCAGAGCAAGATTAGCAGCCCAGTCTATACCTTCAATGTACCAGTATGGATACTGGAACCACGCACCACCTTCAAGTCCGAATCCTTCATCGCCTACAGTAATCATGTGTTCGGAGTCTAGCGAGCGAACGTAATTGCTCGTCTGCCTGATCCAGTTTGTAAGTATGGAGGTAGGACACAACCTGCATCGTGGCTCGTTGGCGAGTTCCCATGCGAAAATCGCGGGCGAATCGCGATATCGTGATATGACGGCGGCGATGTAGGCTTGGTACATGGCCTGGCACTCAGCCTTGGTGTACCACTGCGCGTGGATGAGGACGCCGCAGGCGCGAAAGTAGGCGTGCATACCGCCGTAGTCTTCCCAGTTGTTTACAAAGGGTATGATCAGTTTTATACCGTAGGTTGAGGCCGAAGCGACGACAGTGTCGAGGCGTTGGAGGCCGTTTGTGCCCGTGTTGATGGTGGCGGTGGAGCCGGAGAAGGATTGGAAGTAGACGCTGGAGGGATCAGGCTCACCGTCTACGTCGTTGAACCCCCATACTCTGAGGATCTTGGTGCCAGAGGCGGCGAGGTGGCTCATGATGATGTCGACGTCGGTGTCGTTGGTTAAAAAGGGCATCCAGTACGAGTTTGTACCAGCGTAGTATTTGGTTGTGCCATCGATGTTGAACTTGAGGCCATCGACTTTCGAAACGGATGCTCGGGCAGAAACATCAAATGATGTCGGCAGTGCAGCGGCAGTCGCGCTCAGAAAGAGTAATGGAAGCAATTTCATGATCGCAAGTCCAGTATTTGCTACTTGGCTCGTGCCGTGTGATCTCTTCAAAGAGAAACTTGTCGTATTTCACCAACTTCATCCATAAGTACTCAATACAAGGCAGCATCGCATACCCCGCTTCAAATGAGGTCATATCGTATGCTCCTTCTACATGGAGTAGAACAAGTTCTATAAGTTGTGGCGCCATATAGCAGCCCAGTTATACTATGATGCCAATAATTGGTGCATTAAAGACTTACCGTTGTGGAAGTTGAGTATTGCCAAGTATACACGTGAAAACGAAAGTGTTGAATTTCACCGCGGTTAAGAATCCTTGCTGCAAGTCCGGAGATCACATCCGAGCACAGTAAAAAGGTTGGAGCCCTAGTCGTTAACAAGACGACCAGTTTCAGTCTGCTGATAACAACGGACAAGGTTCGTACCAGAAATAGAATGCAATCGACGTGACTCGTTTAGCGATATGTGTTGACTGAAACGACTACGGTCTGGTTTTCCGTAACTGTGTTAGCATGACATGAGCGCTCGAACTTTTCTGCGAATTTCATATCGACAATCTCAAACAGTAATGCCTGTCAACCCAGTTAGTCACAGATCAGCGGTCACCCTGGTTGCAATAGCTCTTGTCTTTTTCTGAGTGCTGACCGGCTTTGGACGCAGGATTTAGTTCCTGTTCCGTACATGGTAAGTTTTCGTACATTGACTAGTTGGCTTCGTATGGCAAAGATGGGTTCTGTGTAGTTAGAGCTAAGCATCCTCGCAAATTGGAATATTGCAGTTGCCGGAAGAAAAACTTCTAGTGTATCTGGTCCACCCGCCTGAGCATGCTATTTCAGCCTTGCGACAAAACCACATTATGAAAAGACGTTTGTGAGAAGGACTGCATATCGCACGGAAAGTATTTTACCTTCCTCAAGGATCTGTGCTTTTGAACTGGTCGGAACAGTGTTTTCGTCTGAGATTGTGCGTCGTGATAGCGAAATGAGTGTGAGGATGGCCACGAAAAAAGAAAGTCCTAAACGATCAAATACACCACTCAGAAAAATGTTCCTAGCCAAATGCCGCGTAATCCAGATCTGCCGCTGGCAAGGATGTGCACAATGAGCACGAATCGGCTTGTTGCAATGGGAAAAAACTCCAGGTGAAGGCCAGTGAGAAAGAACTTGAAAAAGAAGTATATGCACCCGTCTGCTTCAGGCCGCTCTCTTTTCCGAGTACATAAGGCTGCAGCAACGCACTTGCAGTCAACGTCTGCATGCACGCCAAAGTGGAGATGCGGGTGCAGGTACCAAAAGTTCCTTGTAATATTCGAAGAAGAAAGTATAGAAGACTCCAATGTGACACCAATCGTTAGTGTCGAGGACCCGTGAGCTGTGGCTGTGTCGCGACGTTTTCGTATCGGGCACCAGGACAAGGGGTAATGAACAGTCGATCCTGGTCCTTTCATCTCCACAAGAGCGGGTATGCGCCGGCCCTCGGGGAAACCCATATCCCCGTTATTCCTTTAATGTCATTGCTTTTACGAGGCTCGAGGAACATTACTCAATCCATTTCCTCAGATTGCTCACAGTATGACGGCAGTTATATACGGCCAGCGCAGCGCCGTGGTGACGTGGGGGTCATGTGTGCCACGCAGGAAAATGTCAGCCATGGGATTAGCGGTGAAAGATGGACGTGAGAAGTTGATTCAATGGTCGGACAGACGTTCGGCGCTCACGATGTTTTGGGCATACGTAGGACGGCGCCAATCCGGAATGGACCATATAGGAAATCCCACGCTCGATGATGCAGTCCACGTCGTTTTGCTGGACATCGCGCACGCAGTCGTATGCTGTACAACGCGCGCCTTGGTTGTGCGTGGCAGCGCTGACGTCTATGTAGCATTGCATAAATGTCAAAGATCTGAGTCTAGTGCTGTCGCGTGGCGCCTCCAGAGTACTGGCAACAGTGTGACGACGATGACCACGAGTCTGGGATTACCTGTGCCTGTGCTAGACCCACGCGAGTCGTGGCGCATTTGGCGCGTGAAACAGGCCAAAAGCGCGCGGTGTAAGTTGCTGTGCCGGCTATGACCCCACAGCATCGCCTTGGTGCTGGCCATGAAAGGAAGCGTGAGGTGGTACTAGACGGAGCCCTGAGGCCGTTACTCCAGGGTACGTTTCAGAGTTAGATTCGGGGGCATGGTCCAGGGAAACTTGGATAGTGAGCATTCCAACCACAATAGTCGTCTGTGACGCACTGAATTCTTTTTCTCCAGGATGGCCCTGGGACGTGCTGCACGTTGAGGCTCGGGCCGGTTAGGGCCGGAAATGTGACCTAGACTTCCAAGTCTGACCCCGGGTCCGCGCACACGGTTGATCGACCAGGTAGCGGCCGAACGCATACAGTATCGAATTTTCCGCGCTCGGCAGCGGCGGAGGGCGCTCGCGGACAAGGATGCTGGCACCTCCTGGATGGCCTCCTTGTTGGTCAGACATGGCCGTGCGGGATCGGTTGCTTTGGGCTGTATGCGGCTCGAAGAAGATGGCGTGCGTTGTATTTGTGCCACTCCTGACTGTGATGACCAGCCGCAAACAGAATAGCAATCGCCCTCGAGTTTGAAACTACTGAGCAATCGTGTTGCCGAACGCTACCGAATGTCCGTGCTTGGGCATTCAAGTGGTGGGCGTACGGCATCAATTTCGATGGCGGGAGCTGGTCTGGTTGTGTCCGAAGCCTCAACACCAGGTCAATATTGTACGAGAAGCCACTTCTTGCATGACGAGGTAGAAAAGCAATAAGGCATGAGAAATTGCCGTTCCTACCTGAATCTGCTGCCTGCCAATGATGCCAGTTGATATGACGCACAAGCATTTCAGCCACCGCCGATTCCGACACTCTCTCTGGCCCGAGCCCTGCGAGCACTGTCACAGTTCCTCACCTCAGCCTCTCCAAAAACAAAGTCCTGCCAAGGCTAGAACGAAGCGGGGGGTGAACCGCGGTGCCCTCAAATCTCCTGCTTCTCTTGCTTCCCGTGAATCCAGAGACTGGCTGGCATTGCTTTGGGCGTCGTTGTCCCAGGCCGTACTGTCACTATGAGCATTCGGATAAATGCGACGGTCCAGGAGGCCCGAACAGCTGCAAACCACAGCCAGGAGCAATGGGACCGTTTTTACGTGAGTATGCTCTGGTCGCAAGGGTAAGCCGGGCTAATATTACTAGTTTATAACAAAAGACGAGGCGAGGCAGCTTGCTGAGGCGCATCCAGACTGGAAAAGATGGATCCTCATCCCCGCGAACGAAAAGGAACAGATGCTGGAGAGGATCAATGCCCGACTAAGTGCTGAAGGTATTCCGCCAGTCGAGATGATTATTTTGAAGTGGCGCGTGTCGCAACTCCTCCGGGATATTCAACGCAAGTACGGTACGTGCAATCGCCAACTCTCCCTATAGACGTGGCCTGGCGGGCAGGTAGGCAAACTCTGTCCAACCGTACTCTAGCTGACCTCGACGACTGCACAGAAGCAGGCAGCATGCTACAAGGAATACCAGGTACGAGTTCAGGGTCAGGACCGGGTTCGCCAATACATGTCCACACTGCCCAAGCACCTTCAGACGGTAGCGTAAAGTCTTCGAGCCCACAGCGAACCGAGTATTCGCCAAGCGAGACTCGCCCATACGATCCAATACGAGATGTTTAGAACCTTTGCAGCCCCGAAGGAATCCTGTCTTTTACAGTGCGTGTTCAATGGTCGACAACAGAACTTTCGACTGCTTGGTATCCAAGCCCAAGCCCAGGAGCAACGTGGCCCGATGGGAACAAAGCGAACCGGCCAGCCCGGACGAGCGCCCCAAGAGGAGACGAATTATCATGAATTTTGCAGAGATACTCTTGGTGAGGCCGTCGCACCAGGCTCCGACAAGCCCCAGGGGTTATAGATATCCAGCCAACATGGCCTTGAACAGCCGCACAATTGGAAACAGCTGCGCCGAGTGGGACAGACGTCCTGCTGAGTGGTAAAGCCTTGGTACGTAGCCGAGGCAATGCTCAGGGTTTGCGCTTTTAGGCCCAACTCTTGCATACTTTCAACATGTCTCGCTTTCTTCGTGTGCCTACGCTTTCCCACGATTCTCAATCCTCTCATGATGGCTATCCGTAGGTGATTGGTACACGACATGCAGCTGTCGCTTGGCGTGGTAGCTGTCTGTCTTTGTGCGTCGTGTCTCTGGTCAAATATAGAAAGAGTCGGAATAATCGCGGTGCAAAGCCGTGTCTCGTACATTTCTCAATTTTGCCCTTGATTTCATTTTCCGTGCTGTCTCCTTACAACCTTCTCTCATTGCTGACAGATGGACATGTCTTTTTTTTTCCTGTCCAAGGCTCGTGCTAGGCTGGCGTGTTCGTAAGTCAGGGGCTGTGGACGCCATGGGAGTGGTGTGTGTAGGCGGCGCAATTTTCCACGACACAGCTTGGGGCAACATATCAAACGGCGCATCCGTTGTGACTTGGTCGTCCGCTAAGAATTTTGGGCGGTTACTCCACCCAGTTGAGTTCGCCGAACGTGTTAGCACGTCCAAAAAATCCATCAAGTCGAGCAACTGCCCAATGCCTGATCGGTAGGCCCAACGATAGTGTAAGCCGGAAGCCTCATTTGTTTGCCCTATCAAAGCCTGGAGCCTGCAAGAACCGATGGGTACTCGTGTCGAGTGGCTTCTGTCGATTTGTTGTTGCAAAGGGTCGGGAGGGCTGATCGGGCTGGAGGATAGAGATGCGTGTCTGCCTATGCAAACATGGGTGGCGATGGAGATGGCTCAACGCCTTGGTACTCCGCAAACTGATGGGCAAGATGAAAAGCTGATGGCAAAAGTAGAGTGACGAAAGGAGGGTGGTGAAGAAGGACCAGTCCAGCGCGCCTTCCTCGAAAGTATGGTACCCTAGCAATTAGTACTCCCCTCATCCATGTCGTTACGGCTGCCACACCCGCACCTTCTGATATCAAACTCTTGTACGTCGCAGCCTCCTTCGACAGATGCATTGCATGCGTCCCGCTCACCCAATTTCAACGCGTCCTTTGTATTTTGCCGTCATGCGAGGTCAGTTGGAATGTAGAAAGTGTCCCGGGCGCGGCTGCCGACCATGTCATCATGTGCTGCTCGGCTTATCTTCATCGTACACTCCAAACTCATCCAGCTTTTCATCAGCCTTGCTTGCACGGAGCCTCACTAGACTCTCGACTCGCTCGTCCTCAAGCACGTGTCGCCTCGGATGTGATCTCCGCGGTCTGCCGACACCGTCTCTACACTCTTGGAGAAGCCCACTAGGGCAAGATAGCCATGGCTCGACTGTACTAGGCATATCGACGCTGCTCAGTGGCTTCTGACGGGATAAGAGGCTCTGTTCATGGCCTTTCACTCTCTTGAGCTGCCACCCAAGGCTTGGGGAGATAGCCTGAAGCCGTCTGGGTCATAGCTGCTCCTCCCCAGCAAATCGACGGCGACGACGACATGCTCCCATACTGTGCGATATCCAACAATGTCCACTGTGTAAGTTCGCACGATGCCTGCTGATAGCATACAGACATCATTGAGCGCCTTGACAGGATTCGATGCAGCTGCCCGACGGGTGTCGTTGCTCGGAAGCGGCAATTACGTGCATTAGTGGAATGAAACTTACCAGCACTTGACAGTAAGTAGAAGCTGCCAATTTGCATGGAATGCTAGGCCAGGCGCCTTGGGTAACGCGACGCAATCCGCCGCCCCGACCTTATACCTCTCCAGACTCACTTTACGACGGACCGCATGGTGAACCGGCTACGGAACGGACCTTGTACCTCTCTACACAAAAGCAATTCACCATAGGCGCTTACTCGCTTCCCACCACCCCCGCTACATGTCCCACTCGAGACGCGATACCCGCTCCGCTTCGATGACAACTGCAGTTACGCAAAGAGGCATGCCGGTCTGCCTTCCATAACCACTTAGCTGTGGGTGTCGCGTTGGGGAGCTTGCTGATACCTGCTGCGGTTACCAAAAGTCGGTGTCGATTAGCTTGATAAGCCTCCACCCGTGCTACGAAAGCGCTTACTCAGTGCTTTCCATGCTCACAACCGTACATAACAGCTATACCAGGTTCGTATTGAGAGGCGCGGAAGCTGGGAAAGGGTGGGCATTGCTTGGACCCTGATCACGTACAGCATACTGCCAAACTCAACCCCGCTTTCGGACGCCGTCTTAGGAGGACGTGTATGGTTTGTTTTTTGTATACTCCTCTCTTTTGACCACCACTAGAGACTACCGCAAATCAGCAGATCCATATTTGATCCGGTGTGCGCCAATCACATTACGTCACATGTTCCAGACAAGGTTCACTTAGAGAGCTCCGCTATTTGAACATGGACAGATACTATTGACAGCCTTGTGGAGACAGTGCTTGTATGCCTGAAATGCCTCAATAGCGGAGCCAAGAAA